ATATATATATATATATATATATATATATATATATACACTACTGTTTTTGATTGATTATACTACTGTTTTTGATTGAAATGGAAGGCAATAATAGTCACTAGCACTCGTACTGTGAATATGATGCTGTTTGGATGACGTGGAGAATCCAAAACCTCTTACTTGGTCAAAAAAGATAAGATTTTTAGGTGAAGGTTTAAAAGAGAAATTTATAAAAATAACCGTTTTATACAATTCTTTGCTACAAAATAACCACATTTTAGAGGTTTTGCCAAAATAACCACCCGGATCTCCCCCGGGGGCGATCCGTACATAATGGGGGTGATCCCCTTAAAAAAGTAAAAAAAAAAATCCTCAAAAGTCGAGATTACTGTTCACCTCGTTGACCGTGTTTGACCTCGCCCAGGGGCGATCCGTACTATTCACGGGGGCGATCCGTGTACGGGGGCGATCCGTACTGTTCACCCGTGAATTTTTTTATTTTTTTCGAATTTTTTTAAATTGAAGTTGTATTTTTTTAACTTTTTTAAAACCAAATTTCAAGAGGAAAAGATTTAAAAATAAATCTTTATAATTATGGAGATGCAAAAATTAATTTTCATGGGAAATCAGATATAATATCTGATTGACGAAATTTGACCTCTATTTTTATACAACAATTAAGGGGTGTTTTTTAATAAAAATGGAAAAAATACATAAAGTGTGTCTTTTTACATATTTAATTTTAAATTTCGCAATTTACCGGGGTCGATCCGGGTAAAAAAAAAATTGATTTTTTTCACTATAAATACCAACCTCCTAATTCATAATTTTTCACACATTCCCTTCCATTTCTTTTCTCATATATTTTACTCTCACAACCCTTAACCCATTAAACACAATAAACCATCATAACATTTAACCCACTAAACACAATCAACCATCACAAAACATGAAATCACGTGAAAGTGATAATGTTTGTGTGTATCTTCGAAGTAGCGGCTTATTCCAAGATATAAATGGTGTTTTAGAGTACCTTCCGATTACCTCCCCCACATGTGCAATACGTTTRTCTTCGCCAATAACGTATTCTGGGGTCGTCAAACGTGTGACGAAAAAGTTAGGTTTACGTGGTCCTTTCAATTTATTTTTTAAAACAAATACGTTATATCAGTTTATGGACGACGATGATGTGGTAATCCTCCACAACGCCATTTGTCAAACTTTACCAGAAATGTTGACACTATATGTTGTCGACAATGGAGGTTATGAAGGCCATCAAATGCAAACCCGGGAGGTTCAAACACTTTTTACACCGGTGCTGTGAGCACACTCTTCCCCGGCGTCATAGAGTTGTCATATCATTAAAAACCGTGATATCAGTTATAATGTCTGATTTTTTCTCCAAAAATCAACTAAATATTTTTTTTTCGTAACCACAATTATCATCCGGTTATTTTATAACGAAAAACCGTGAAATTTAAAATTAAAAACAAAAAAATAGAGGTCAAATTTCGTCAATCAGATATTATATCTGATTTBCGAAACACAAAACAGAGAAAATTAATTTTTGCATCTCCATAATTATAAAGATTTATTTTTAAACATTTTCTCATGAAATTTGGTTTTAAAAGAGTTAAAAAACTACAACTTCAATTTTAAAAAAAATTCGAAAAAAAAAATTCACGGGTGAACAGTACGGATCGCCCCCCGTGAATAGTACGGATCGCCCCCGGGCGAGGTCAAACACGGTCAACGAGGTGAACAGTAATTTCGACTTTTGAAGATTTTTTTTTTTTTTACTTTTTTAAGGGGATCGCCCCCATTATATCGGGGGCGATCCGGGTGGTTATTTTGGCAAAACCTCTAAAATGTGGTTATTTTGTGACAAATGGTTGTGTAAAACGGTTATTTTTATAAATTTCCCGGATAAAAATGCAATCAAGTATTAAAATATTATAGAGATTAATGAGGAGGTGTCTTCACCTCTAAAACTCAAAAACATATCATTACGGTTGTAAATGCACCGAACGTTTCGTAAACATTTGATTAAAAGTTCGTTTATGTTCGTTTATCTAATACATAAACAATGTCTTGTTCGTTCATTTATGTCTGTAAACATTTGTTTACTTATGTTCGTTCATTTACGTTCGTTTATATACGTTCATTTATGTTTCTTTGTACATATAAAAATTTAATATTGTTGACATTAGAATGTAAAATCATTAAGTTAGATTTTTACAATTCCTTTTCCATCTCTCCTAAATTTAATAGTGTTTTTGCTGTCAACGTTCGATTTTTTTTAAACATTCACAGTGTTTTTGCTGTGACTGTTAAGGGAAGACCGCCAGCATAACTTACAACTGCCCCCGACAGCTCTTTGTACCCTGGAATTGGAATCTCTGTCCCGAATGCACCCCTACACAAGAGGCAAATTGCTTCCTCGTCCGTCAACAGATTGACATCGTGAATATTCGAGTTCGCAGCTTTGTGTGCTACTAGTACTTGCTTGTCTCTTGTTGTATATATAATCATATTTCAATTTATTCTATCGAAAAGAGTACTCAAGTTCGATTCAAAGTCTGACGATGAGACAAGACGACAAAATATCGCATAGATA